GCCCGCGCGCTGGTAACGGCTGCCAAAGCGAGCTTCGCGCCTTGGCCTTTTCTCCTGGTCAGGTGCCTGGTCTTCCTGAGGCGTTGCGGCTCGCGAGCACGACGCGCCGACAGACAAGCCGGCTGCCCGTGGGTGATCTCCAGCAAGCCGCACTGAGACCCCGGCTCTTTTTACCGTTGGTCCTTTTCTAGGCCTCTTTTCTAACCGACTGCTTAATCTTGCCGCAAGCCCTCACCTTTCCCGCAGCCGTGCTCACCCCACATCTCAAAAGACTAAGCTCGTTCATTTCGTTTATAGTGCCGATAAGAAACTGATCGATACTGAAGTTACCGGGAAGCCTCAGTTGTGAGTGGATTTCTGGATGTAGACTTAAGCGTTCCGTAGCAGTGGGCATCGTTGCTCATGTTTAAGGGTTGTGGAAGAAGGCACCCCGTTCTTAGGGGGCCGACGTTTTCTGTGCCAAGTGTGTGCTTTAGTGCTGTGCCGCCCCAGACTGGCTCAGCTTGGAGGGCCCGATTTCAGAAAGTTATGTTGCTCTGCCCTGTGTTTAAAAAAACGCAGCTCACAGCATTACGTACTGAGGAGAAAAGGAAATTTGGAAGGAAGGCCTACTTCAGGTAGATGTCTTTTGCTACTTGAATTTAGCCAAACTGTAGGAAAAAGCTCCGTTTGCTTGTGATGAGTAAAGACTCCTTGAGTGGTGGCTGAAGCCCGTCTCCGGTGGGCACCGTCTACGCTAGTTCAGGCTCTCTGTTAGGCACCAGTATTTCTCCTGCACCCTCAGTGCTCCATCCAAAAGTGTGGAGGAAAACCCAGCTGCATGCCAAAATAAACACTCACCTGGTGATAAAGCAGCTGCAGAGGGAGCAGAACAGAGTAAAATGGGTAACTGAAGGTCACATGGATGAACAGGAGTGGGAAGACAAACAATACGCATTCTGATATTTCCTTGCGAGTTTGATTTTGTTACAGAATGTTGGTTTTTTTTTTTTTTTAACTGTGAAGGTGTGTGACAGTGTAATCATTAATAAACCCAGAAAAGTTTGTGTATGCACTAAACATACCCAGAATTTCAGATGCCAGTTCATATTACAGTTGAAGTTTTATTTTCCTGGGAAAGTGGCGTCCGCTTGACATTTCCGTTGACCCATTTTGCCGAAACAATATAACACAGACATGGGATTGTTAAGGGGCCAAGATAAGACACAAAAGGTGATAATCCAAGTTCCGGCCTTTAAAACCTGCAAACTCTGTTTGATAGCACATCGTACTGCTGGCTGCAAAGATCAAATTCATCTTGCCTTGAGACTGCACGTAGATTGTAATGCAAGTTTTAGATGCAGAAGCTGATAATAAATTAAAATACTAAAGAAGAAAGAAACCAAACAAACTCCACACAGTGTATATTGAACCATGAGTATTACTATGATTTTCAAAGTTTGTTCAGAATCCCCAAACAAACAAACAAACGAACAAACCTGATGGATTTAACATTGACTCTCTGGAAATACAGATGATTTTATGGTAGCATAAATATGTAGCCAGTACCTATAAAGTAGACAGAGAAATAGGAATGTGGTCAGTGCTGATGAGACTGTTTTGGGAGTATATCCAGAAGAAATTGCAGCTAAGAGTGAGAGTAATCAGCCTGAATCTATTTTTCCACAGTACAGACAGAGCTATACGATTGAAGGCTGACTTTTAACTTATTCTGCTACTTTTTCCAGGACACTGTGACCCATTTCCAAAGCTGACATAAGGAGTGTCTGCCCGCCTATCCACCTATTATACATGCAGTCAAGGCTGTACTTTGGAGCATAGCATAACTTATTTTAATTTATTTCTTCCTCAGTTTAATGCCTTTTTATTAGAATACAGGCCTACTTGACGTGATTAGAAAACAACAGGCATTGTGCTGTCATGCTAAAGTGAATTTTCACTTATCCAAGGGCCTATAATGACAGCTAGGCAGGCTACGTGCCCCTTTTGACTGCCAGGACAAATACAGCAGCATAACAACACTGCAACTGTCCTCACTCATGTGCTTGCTGCTTCCGACTGGGTGTCGAGGTGACACTGTTTAATTGATACAAGGCCTGGTCTGCGGCTGCGCTCCTGAGCGGGTTGTGAATGGTTTGGTGTCTGGTGCATTACCATCTCTTTTAGGAACATTCGATGCATGGTTCAATTGGACGCTGTTAAAGAGAAGTGTTAAATGAACTTACGGGAGAAGATTCAGAGTTAACCGTACCGCTGCAGCTGGCATCTGAAAGAGAAATTCCCTCCGCCCCTTCCATCGTTCCTTCCAGCTGTCTTCTAAAAAGCACTTGGTCAGGAGCAAACTGAATGGCTTCGTTCCTTATGCTTGCAAAGGCTGAAAGCACTTGGAAGAAAGTGCTCAGTCTTGGACGGCTCTTGCATTTTTCTGCCCATCTCTGGTATTTCCCAGAATACTACAAATACAGCTCGACTGGGAATTGTCAGACTTTTTCCACTGAGGGAGAGCAATAGGGTCCAAATGAACACTTTTCATATGAACGTACGCATTTTGGTAATGTCTGTGTTGGGAAAAGTTTTTCAGGTCCAGGCAGGAATGTCTGGTTAAAACTAGAGAGAGAAAGGGACCTACTCAAGAAGGACTAGCAGCTTTCAATTGTAGGTGCCTGCTGTTCAAGTGCTTGGCCATTTATATGTTACAGGATTATTATCTGTCAAGGCACTCTCTGTTTAGGTTTTGTTTTGTTTTTGTTTTACAGATATAGTTAAAAGAAGAAGAAAAAATCCTCCAAATTCAGTAGGCACTGGCTTCATCCTGACACAGAATTTTAAACATAAAAAAACCCCTCATGTTTTGGGGATAATATCCACCTTTGGATCCACTGCTGTTTACAAAGAACTCCCGGCATACAGGATGTCCAAATATAATTTCTGTAAGGGCCCATCTTTAAAAAATATTGGACTTACAGTTATATCATGTTGTTGCATAAGACCTTTGTACTGAACTGTTCCCAGAAGCACACAAGTATATGCCTAGCAGTGATACTGCTTATCAAGGGCACATTTAAACTGAAAGCTCTTTGAGGCTGGCACTGTTCATTGCTTTGCGTTTCAACAGTACTTAGCCCAAAATGGCTTGATTCCGGCTTTGACATGAACGTTAAACACATCTTTATTATCTTATTAGTAACAACACTTACAGATCAGGACTTTATTGAGCGATGTTCTGGACATAGTTTTCATTTTACTGGATGAGGATTGATGTCTGAGAGTATAACGCTGTACTGAGAACTTGAGTCATCGAGCAGAGCTCTGCTGAGATCACACTTGACACTATTTCCAGCCTTTAAGGCATAAATCAGTATGTATGTGTAATCTTCATCACCCTTAACCTGACTGAAATGAAAATACTGCACTGCTTCAGGCTCCCTACAAGTGCAGTGCAAGCAAACAAGGCCCAAAAAAGACAAATGTCAATCATGGGAGGAAAAAGAAAATCAGACGGAGGCGTAAAAAAGTCAAGCCTCATCAGAGACTCTTAGACAGGCATTTCTGGGCACCGTGTTGGACAGCCGTGGCCTACATGCTGTCCTGGAGAGAGACATTTATGTATGACGAGAACTGTGCAGACTTTTACCTTCATACAGAGGTTCCTTCCACCCTCCTGTACCTGAGATCACCCAGAGGCAGCACAGCCCACCTTGCAGCTCAGGGATGCCGTGGAGCTGCTCCAAACGTACCGCAGAAAAGAGGGCTATAGAAAGAGGGCTATCAACTGAGCTAGACAGAACACACTCTGAAATAGATAAAGCCCCCCCCCCCCCAAATATGATACCATTTATTGTTTCATTTGCCTTTCACACTGGATGGAGGAGGATAGATTTAAAAGAGAAAAAAATCCTAGAAAACAGAGGTACACGTACAACACGGGACAACAGCTGTATGTATAAATGAAAGAGGAAATACTAATAAGAAGTAAAAAGCCAATAATACTGCAAGAAAAGGAGATAGGCATGGTTATAGGCTTATGGTCGCTGAAGTGGGAAAGCTTATCTCCCTTGAAGTCCCCGATGTAAAAACATCACAAGTGAGACTGGAATGTCGCCTAGGGGACAGACAAAAAAACCCTCCTAAATTGTGTAATTAAAAATTTCAAATGTTGGAGAAGGAGACAAACGAAGGGTGGATTTAGAGAAAAAAACAAACAGGCAATTAAAATAACTTAAAGATTAAGAATTTTTTTTAGCAATTCATAATTATATTGATGGATAATGGCACACAGCAACATAAATGCACTGAGCTCAAATTAATTATGTTAAAATAATGGGTAATCTGTCTCTGTGTTGATAACATAATTATGGTGATGGTTTTCAAATGTTTTAAAATTATATCATTTTTGATTCGTAATGCAAGGTGGGTATTTTGCTGTTTAATGTATTTTGTTATTTATACAATATTTTCAATGTCATTGCTTTCCTCTACAGTAAAGTCTAAATAATCAGCTAGCACCTTAAGCTATTTCTTACTGTTGTACAAACTGCAAAGTAACTCAATATGAAAATATTAGTCACTCAAATAGCAGATTGACAACTGTGGTTAAACTACAAATGTATACTATAACACAATAGAAACTTTTTTATTTTTCTTTTTATAGCCAGTCGTCTCACTATTAATTGTCAGAAAGCAGACCTATCCACACAAGGGAAATTTTCAGGTTTTATGGGGTTAACTACGTAACTATGCTTCAGCGTTTTTCTCGCAATAGGAAATACACAGCTGTGGTTAGAAAACTTAGCTATATTGTCTCAGGAATGAATTGAGGTTCTCAGGGAATTTCTGATTGTCTGCAGTTGCTTCTCGGCATCAAGTGTTTATTACTGGTGCCCGGCAGCCTTGGTTCGCGCAGCCTCCTGGCTCCGTTACTGTGTGCGCGGGTGGAGGGTGGTGGCGTGCGACAGCAAGGGACCAAGCGCGCCTGTGGACGCGCACCCCGGCTCGCCGGTTTTGTTCCTGCCCCGACTGCGTGCACGGCCAACCTTCAATGGTAACTGCAAGCGCCTTAGGGCTTCGTGTGTGAAAACACGCTCTTATATTAGGCTCTGATTATACTTAAGCAAATATTCTATGCTTATTTTTTTGCTGAGTTGTGTGGACTTCAGAGTTTTGCTGACCTGGAATATCACTAAAGTATTCTAAAATTGCTAGGTTTTTACATTTTTTTCCCTGTTACCTGCACTTCACTTATTCTTTGCAAGCCCTTTCTCTGCTATACTTTCCCTCTTATCTCTTTGCATTTCTATTTCATTCTGCTTTTTTTTTTTCTAAATTCAAATTGGCTGTTATCATAATCTGAACAAACTTTTAAAGCAAGCTTTAATTATTTTGGTGATGGATATGTCACGTCTGA